GATAAGCACGTGCATCACATTTTAGGAACATTTATGGATCTGTGTTTTCTTAAAAGCAATATCTCCTTCCAAATTGTTAGGATGTTGTGTAGTTGGACAAAAGAAAGTAGGACTTCCTGCTCTCTGGATGAATTTCGTAGAAATCTTTAAATTGTATAAATGTGCTAAATCTTCCTGCTGTCCCAAGCTAGGTATGCCATTAATGCTACTGTGTAGTGTTTAAATGCTTAATATGCTAAACTAGATAGACTCCATTTCCGCTCTATTTCTTCATTCTTTTACTTCTCACTCTGTGAAAACTGAAATAGCTAATGACTTGTGCCTATTCTCTGCTTTCCTTTTGCTTCTCTTAGCCTGTTATGCTGTAGATCAGAGTACCATTATCGATAATTGATCATTCTTGTGGAAATTATTTGTTATTACATTATTGACTACGGTGCAGGATGCTTTTCGGGATGCCAAAGCAAATGGTTTTAATGTGACGGTTATCAAGAAAGGGCAGCTGCAGCTCAATGTGGACCAGACATTGGAAGAGGTGGAGGAAGCTATTACGGATATTGGAAGTAAGATATACCATGACAAAATCATGCGTGAACGCTCTTTGGATGTATCTACAGTAATGAAGGGTCTATTTAGTACTGGAAAACCTATGAAAAAGAGGTGCACTGCAATCATACGCCTGTCGCCAAATTTTATTGCTGGCACATGTTTATGATGCCAGATATTTAGATATTGCCCTAGATTAGAACTCTTTTTGATTTTACCCTTCATATTTTTCAGGAGGAGGTCACGGAGGAAGCTAAAAAAGCCCACTTCTAAATAGATGTTATGTTGGTCTTCTCAGGTATTAAATTTTGTAGGTAGTGTTGGTGCTAGGTTATTGTGAACTTAGGATACTTTAAAACGGTACATGAAATTTTGTGCAATAAATTTCAAAATTTAAAGATCTTGTACCTGCCAAACAGTCCAGGTGAATTTTAATTATCGACACTGCTTAACTTGCTTCCAAGGAGCCAAAACCAACTCCTACCATAGCCATAATACAAACATATAAGCAGAAAGATTAAACTTGGCATCCCCATCTTTTATGAGATACACTCATCTTAGGATTGTTAGATTGTAATAGAAGATGAGAAAATCAATAAGGCCTTTGTTTGATATGCGTTGATTTCTATATTGTAATCGATCGGGAAGAAAATTTTGGTTAGTGTTCCTTGACTTAAATTTCTCTACCTCTCAGTTTCCTTAAAAAAAAAAAAAATTACCCTTCATTTTCCTGTGTCCTCTTTTGGGAACAAAATCAACTTTTCTTTTCCTTCTAGTTATAGTTGCGGTTATGTCCCTCTGATTTTTGAAATCGCAGGGATCTCCAAGCACTGTAAGCTTCATTGAGATAAGCTAGAGAAAAAAAGAGTTTGTTGGTTTACTAATACTTAACTTTTATTAGAACATGAAAACAATGAAAAGTTGTATGCAAGTTGAAAACTATATTACCATGTCGGATTCTTCTTGTACGACCCGCATGATATTTTCTAGTAATGTTTTCGAAATTTTTTGGAATCATTGATTGGAAAACTGATCCCGTGATTTTATTGTTGTTGAAGGAGGAACTTAAAGGCAGACTGGCAGAGGCAGCCCCTGTTAATCGATTCTTCATAACTGAGGAAATGTTATGTACTTTGAGAAATTTAAAAGGAGAGTTCAATATCGGTTTCTGTTTTTTCCTCTAATTGGACGCTTTTCTTATGTTCCCTGAGGTTGAGCCTGTTTTTTAGTCAAATGGGAGATTGTGAGGGCGTATCTTCATCTGCTGAATAATTCCTCAACCTTTGACAGGGCTGGCTATTATGGGAACTCAGTTGCCTCGTTCTAACACCACGTACTGCATGTGTCGGGGCGTTCACAGTTAGCTGAGATGGTATTGTTCTTAGAATTTTGATGGACATTTGAAAACTGGGCTTGAAGCAACCAGTTGACTAAGGTGACTCTTGTTTATTATCATTTGTTTCTTTCCCCAGTAAAGGTGCTCAAAGATGAGTTCCATAATATATATTCAGTTGCTGCAACTATCCTAGAATGAAAAATTAGGAATCCTTCCACCACGGAAAAACTGCATGGAATTTTTTTGTATTTATGATGGTTTAGTGGCTTCCCTCTGTGCATCTCTAGACACCTCTCTGATGGGGATGGTAATGTAATTATATCAGAACTGTTAAAGCACTTCTCTGAAAATTCACATTATTAAAAGTAGAAAGTTTACTGTGATTTAGAAGTCTGTGTTGACTCAATTTGCAGATTGATTCTTTACGTTCTGCCTTCGACAGTATCCTCTGCTTCTTAGTATTCTCCCGTTTCTGAGGTCGAAAGTTACGAAGAGTCAGTTAGTTTGACCTTGAAAGAGGCGATCATTCATTTAGAGAGGTACCCTGAAATATGAGATTGAGAAGAAAAAACCTGTCGTGTTGTTGTCCTTGTAACAACATGGGATACCCTTGTCATTTGATTTCTAAGAATCATACTATGATTGAACATCTTGTGGATCTTGTAAATATGCAAAAATGTGACTAATACAACTTTTTTGTGACTAATAACTTTTATGGAGGAGATCCATCTTTAGCATTCTTCATCTTTGTTGTTTTAATACCTTTCAGCGTAACAATAGAAAACGTTGCAACTGCAAGACTCCCGAATAGAAACTTAGTCGACTTGAAAAAAACATGTTATATAAGAGAAATTCCATAAATTAGACCTCCATAACTGCATCTTAGTTTTCTTACCATAATCTGCATTCCAAAGTTGTAGCAATAGAATCGCTTTATGTGAGGTTTTAAAAACCAAATAAACTCAGCTACAGCTTATAGCTCAACTCTACTTACATCATTTACCATTCATACTTTACACCAAAGGCAACAAACAACTTGCTGACTTGCTTAAGCTGTAAATTAGCGCAAATGAGCAAGTTGGTCAAAAGTGCAAATCATAATATTGATAAAAATGGAATGATGCAGAGTAGACTAGTCACAATGATGAGAAATCTGGAAGTGGCCAAAAGCAATTGTCTTCTGACCATTTTAACAATCATAAAACATGTTGCAGTTTGACAATCGCCATAATTATACATAAGCCAAAGCACAAAAAACAATTCTTCATCAATTTGTGCACTTGCATTCGCCTAATTTCTAATACAAATACATCTGCAATTTCCCTTTTAACAATGCCTTGATCAGAAGCTGAAATGTAATTAATTAACAGCAAGAAAGTCATGTATCAGCAACGGACGCCTAAAACAGAGCCGCTGCTGACTTGAATCACCACTTTACACTTCACTCCACTATCCACCCTATGTGTAAACACCTTCAACACCCTCACCCTCCCCACCAACTTCATCCTCGTTTCCACCTCCATTGTGGGTCCCCTTCCAACCCCACCTCCGCCGTTCGCCGCCGCCGTAGAAACCACCCCGCCGCCTGAGACATCAGCTCTCAAAGTTGCCGGAAGCGGGTAAGACTGAACATCAAACTTCGCCGACATATGCTGCGTCCGACCACCGTCGATCTTGCCGGCTGGAATAAACACTACACCCACCGGCTCGCCTGAGTAACTGAGCTGAAGCGAGCTGTCGTAGTGAGTGAACTCATCGCGATTTGGGTTTGTGACGGAGACGTACTGGAAGAAAGTGAAGTTAACGCTGCCGTTAGTAACGGAGAAGGTGGGGAATTGAACGGCGTCGACGGCGATTTTGGGAGTTTTGGGTTTGAAAAGGAAGAAGTAGACGACAATAATGCCTACAATGAGTAAGATCAAGAAGAAAGTGGCAACACAACAAGAAGCCAAGTTAGTGCGGCCTCTACTACTGGGTTTAGATCTGTAAGGATCAAACATGGCTAAAGATTAATGCTTTTGAACAGCCCCAGTTGGGAAAATTTAGTGGCAAGAATGTGGAATAGTAGGAAAGGGGGAGGGATATTGTCAATAAAGTGCTGGGTAGCATATCATTAGCACTAAAGAAAAAGGATAAAAACAAGAGACAAAGGCAAAGAGAGAAAAGAGAGAGATTGGTATATCACTGACTGCTTGGTTAAATGGTCTGGATTTACTACAGTGATTTGTCTTCTTCTGTCAATATTAAGGAAAGTGCTAGTTACCCCTTTTTCCTTTTCTTTCTCGTGAAGGAACAAATGTTGAAAAAATATTTTAAGCAGCAAAAATTCATACAAGGGAAAAAAGCCTATATTTGCTCCTATACTATAAATTTTTGTTTAATTTTGCCTTTTGTTAGAAGTTAACAAAAATAGTTCGGTTACTATTTGTATCATATTTATCCTTTTTTTCCAACTGAGCAGACAAAATTCTCGTAAGCATTTCATTTTGGTGTAGTAGGCAACATAGATGACACGTATATGAGTTAATAAACACATGTTTGATCTAATAGTTACATTAAATCTGATATTTAGTCTTTCTTAGTTTAATTACAGATTTGTTGTCAGTTTAAGAACGAGTGGAAACCTTTAATTTTAGAGAACTCTTAATTTACTTAAAAGACACATATTTACTAGTAAAGGATTGAAATGGTTTTCGAAAAGAACAAACTTAAGTCAATTGATTGATTTTAAGATGCTTATATAGTTGCTTTCTCAATTGTGTTTCCGTAGGGGATTGGAGGTTTAAGAATTACTTAAAGAGTTTTGAGTGAGAAATAAGGTTTGCATAATTACGTTTGAAGTGAACTCTGCATCAAGTTAAGGTTTAATAAAAATGAAATGATGTCCCACTTCATACCAAACCCATCCTATCAAAAGGTGGAAAGGTGCAGCAATGTAGCAAAGGAGTTAGTTGGATCTACTAGCAAACATTCACCTTGAATCTTTCAACTCCAAAGGGCTCAGAAAAAATTAATGTACAACTTTGTACAATAAAACAGATCTGTTGAGATCTTAGCTTTGTTCATTACTTGAGTTATGTACAACTTCACCTTGAATCTTTCAACTCCAAAGGGCTCAGAAAAAATTAATGTACAACTTTGTACAATAAAACAGATCTGTTGAGATCTTAGCTTTGTTCATTACTTGAGTTATGTACAACTTCACCTTGAATCTTTCAACTCCAAAGGGCTCAGAAAAAATTAATGTACAACTTTGTACAATAAAACAGATCTGTTGAGATCTTAGCTTTGTTCATTACTTGAGTTATGTACCACCCAAAAGGGCTAAAACTAGCACACAACTCATCCGAGTCTCGGTTTCTTATTCCTCTACCTAGGTTGAAGCTTAACCAACAATGTCAACAGCCTTGGCTCCTGCAAACATATTTAATAAGTATACAAGAACGTAAACTATTATTTAAGGAAAAGGATATTGTGTCTTCAACTTAATCCAGCATAAAAAAAGATGAACAAACTTTACAGTATTTTGAGAATTGACACCGAGATAAAGAACTTGGTTAACTGCGAAAATGAATTGAAAGCAATGAATCAGGATATTCTCTTTAAGTTGATGCATGCAGACAATAGGTGTCCGCAGACTCTCCTATGTACACCTATGTACCAATTCTTCAGTGAAATATCAATAGGAAATCTCATCAAAGAGGCGATCCATTACATGCGAGACGGTCTCAAGGAATGCATCTTCACTTGAGCCAGGAAGCACAGATTCCAGTGCTTCTTGAACAATCTCCTCAATCACAGATTCCTTGTTCAAGGTTTCTCTGCACATGATGTTCCCAATGGTAAATGCCGTGAGGCCCCTCTCTGCACCTTTCTTCAAAAGCATAGTGGAGATGCGGAGTGTGCGGGCACTTTCCAAAGGCATGTCCCACCCGTAAAACTTCAACAAGGCAATGTCTTCTTCCGCATCGAGTGATTTTATGTACTCAATGGTTTCGGAGCTAAAAGGCTGACGAGCTTGTGGCCAATAAAGCCAGTCAAAAGTGACATCTTCAAACTGAAATAGCATAAACCAACTGATCAGAACCAAACTATACAAATTTTCCCGAAGTCTAATTGACTTCCATCTATTGTCAATCCTGAATTAAAGAGAGAGCGAGAGAATATATAACAAGCCGCCTAACAAGCATTCACAACTCTCAAATTTCACAGAAGTTTTTGCTACTCGTATCAAGGCAAAAAGCAATGACATTTTTTACTAATCGTACTCCAGAACTTCTTTTAAAAGAGCACACTACTTGGACTTCGAATTCGTTTAATGCCTCATATACTGCAGATAATAGCTGGCCTCTCAAAGGGGCAGGTAAAAAAAGGTGGTCAGTTTTGTAAAGACCACAGCTTCTCATAGGTGTTTTTTTCTTGAAATGCGGGGGATTCTTCTTTTTACTATAGGGGCGAAGCTCAGACATGTGTGTTGGAAACGAGTATATTCCCGGACCTTAAAAGATAAGGTCTCATAATGAGCTGGGAAAATGTTATCATCATTGCAATCGCTCCCTATTTTCTCATAGGTGTTCTGGCCAATAAAAATCATACTGCGATTTGACATGAAAATGATATGCTTTTAATCCATGGATTTGTGATTGTCATTTCAAAGGCTTGTAAGTATGTCGAAATCGGGGAAAGCTATTCCACTGGAGACACATTGATTTTGAAGTTAGTTTATACCCTCAACCAAAATTTGACTATAACGAATGAAGACAACATGCTTCCGAATTCGCACTCAAAATCATACAGTCACTTGCTGGAGGGACATGTTAGAGCAGAAAACAAAATTGCAAAGATAATTAACATCACATTGTAACTACTTTAATAACCAATATAAGAAAGATGTAACAGGAAATGCAGCAAAGAAGAATTGCATCCACCAACTGTTCACATCATACACCAAAAGAAAAGGAAATTAAAGATGAAGACTTACACTGTCAGGCAAGCAGTAACCATGATCAATTGGAATGAGGACAATCTGCCCATCTTCACCTTTGCTCATTAAAATATTCCCTGCATGCCTATCTGCATTTGCCATCCTCATATCAAGCACTGCAATCTTATGCACTTCCCCCACAGGAAAAGCACTGGGACCTATATCCTCACAACTTCCTNGGGACCCATATCCTCACAACTTCCATTGTTCTCCATGAACTTTTGCAAGGAGCCAATCTTAGGGGTGATACCATCTGGGTGATTGAATCCGCTGTGGAGACACCTCACAAAGAGAGTTGGTGGAACACCAGCAAAGCCCAGTGCCTCACCAGAAAATGAACGCCTACCGCTTTTTGGATGATCCAAAAGGTAAGCAGCACATTCCCTCAAAGCACCTTCTCCAACTCTTGTTCCTTTCTTCAAGCCCTCGCCATTAACTGACAAAGGCAGCCCTCGTGGGTTATTCACAGCCATAGGCTCCTCATCAATTGGTTTAAACACCGAAACGTACTTAATCCCTGCTGCATCAAGCATAAAGTAGGCTCCTCCTGTGCCTTCGGAGGATCTAATAGGATAATGTCCTCTATCTAACCCTTCAAGTGTAGAGCCAATCAAATCACTAATCACCAAAGGCACTTCAATCTTTGGGTTAACAATGATAGGTTCCAAAATACTTGCCCTATCAGGAGGCTCCTTAGGGACCGAAAGCTTATTATCTAGTATTTCATTCCCACTACTGCTCTCCGTAGCCTTGTCATCATTCAGTTGTGGTGCCACAATAGACAGCTCAAAATTCTTCTCCACTGGTCTTGCTCTAATCTTTGCAGATTTTCTCACAAACAAATGAATCACAGCATCATTGTTCTTGCAGATATCATGTATAAGCCTCTGATCTTCAAGTCTTTCACCATTGCAAAGCACTTCTTGCTCATCGATATCTCCTAAAGCACCCTTCTTTTTCTTAGCAATTTGACGTTTCACATATCCGACATCCCTGCTCCTATCCACATTAAAGGTAAACTCTTCACCAGAAGAAGTTTTCACATTGATGACCTGAAGATCTGATAACCTAAGGACCAAATGGAGAACATTCCCATCACCAACTCCATAATCCCTAATGAGGGAATTGCTTCTGGCCAATTCTCGGCCACCACACACCAATTTTTGATTTTTCACGACAAACCCTTTACAGGTCTGAATCTGAAGCTTCACAGAGTCAATTGAATCATATTCCAAAACCCTCATTGGTACCATTGACCCTGACATAGCCACGTATATCAAAATTGATTCTTGGCTATGGAAATCTGCAGGAATCATCATAGATTCTTTGCACATAGGACTAATCGCAATCACCCCAGCTGAAGACATCTTTCCACTAATCCAAAATTTTCAAACCCTAAATTCCAAAAAAATCAAATCAACCTGAAAAATATAAACCCCTAAAAAACAAAAGATAATTTACCAAGATTTTCACAAACCCATCTTTACATACAATCTGTGTTCCTCTTCACAGATCGAAACTGTACAAATAAAAAAAGAACAAAACCAAATTAAAACTTCCCAAAGCCCTAGATATTCATAATAGGCCCATGTATGAATTTACTTGAAATGGGCCATAGAAAAGCGAAAGCTAGAAGCTTTGGGAAATCGGAAATTAGGGTTTCAGAAATTGGATTTGGGGAAAAAATAGAAATAAACTTAAATAGAGAAATCCAAAGGCAGAGAAGAACGAGCGGATTCTTATTAACGGAGGAATAAGAACCGAAGAGGAAATGGATGATCGGAAGCTTAGTATATAGATAAGGTGAAAACAGATCAACGACGAATTTTTTGAATGGTTCCGGCGAATTTCCCGGCGATTGAACGGTGACAAATTGGGAGCGTGTTTGGTGGAGAAATTTGGTACCGTTGAAGAAGAAGACTGAAGAAGATATGCGTTGTAGGCGTGGGAATTATTATAGTGTACAGCGTTGAATAACGACTTTGACGTGGATTTTTGACGGTCTTTAACGGCGTTTACTCGGTTTTGATTTCGGGAAAGAGGAAATTGAGAAAATGCTGTTAACGGCGTCGTTAATTGGGCAACAAGTTGGAAGAAGACACATCATTGATGACACAGATTACAAGAATAATGGTAACGTTGTTAAGTGCTGTGTAAGTTCGAGGAAATTGGCTCATGCAAGACTTTTCTACTTAGGCCATATATGACACTTGTCTCCGTTTTCTCCTGCAAAATAAAGTAAACTTCAAAATTGAGTAAAGTTATTCTAATCAAAACTTTATTTTTTACTCCAAAACAAAATATTTTATTTTATATTCTTCTCTCTTCAATATTAAATTACTCCCTTCATTTCAATTTATGTGAACCTATTTTCTTTTTAGTCCGTATAAAAAAGAATGACCTCTTTCCTTATTTGGAAACAATTTACCTTTATACAATGATTTATAGCCACACAAAATATATGTGTCTCATTTTACACCACAAGTTTAAAAATCTTCTCTCTTTTCTTAAACTACGTGCCCAGTCAAATAGGTTCACATAAATTGAAATGGAGGGAGTATTATTTTTTATTTAAATTTTATTTTTTTATTTCTATTAAAGAAATTCTATCTTTTTTTCTTTTTTACATATTCATCACATATAATTTAATATAAAATTATTTTATACCATAAATTTTTAAATAATATAATTTATAAGCAAATATTATAGATTATATATATTAACGGATAAATCAAATAAAAGTGAAATCATTGAGATACAAGATAATTAAATATATATTACATTATGGTAAAATTCGGATTAAATATTACATAAATATTCAACTTTCACCTCTAGTATGCTCTCATAAATGATCTATTAATGCATTACGAAGTGTAAAATGAGCATCTTTGTCCTTAATTTTTTTGTGTCGAGCTCAAAATTGCTCAAATCGGTGATTTTTATCTACTACCATTTCTACCGTTGGAGGTGGACATTCCCAATCATCTTGAATTGGTGCATTAAGATCACGCTCATCCTCGATTATCATGTTGTGCAGTACAATAATCCTTGGCCCAATTCACTCAATACTATAATGATTTTGGTGTATCTGAAGAAGACATAGGTCCCTACTAAGTTATTCTGCTATTTACCGTAGTTTCAATTTTTATGTATTTTAATTTGATGTATTTTCAATTTTCATGTATTTCCAATTTTAATATATTTTCAAATTCACTTTTCAATTTTAGCAACATCTAATATTTTATATTTGCACCATTTATTTTTTGAGATCATTATATATTTTTTGTACAATTATAATTTATAATAAAATTAACTTAGAATTTTACATAAAAATAATAAATGCACGAAAATTAATTTATCAAAATTATACTCCAAAGTTAAGATGTAAAATTAATATTTTTTTTTGGTAACCATTGTGAATTATCATTGACAAACCAAATCAATTACAAATAAAGAGCACCTAATTCCACATAGCAGAACTTAGGCCTCCAACAAACAGATCTGAACAACAACAAAAAAAAAACCAGAACGCTTGTTACGTAGAAGCTTATATACTAATCCTCTACATCTCCTAGCTCTACGAGATGTTCTATATAATTCTAGTCTAACCAATACATCCTTTTTAATCTATGACACTATCTCTGATCTATGTACATTTATTCCTTTGAACAATTTCCAATTCCTAGCTTTCCAAGTGTGGTATAGTATAGCCCCCCATATTGCTGTCATCGGCTCTTTTTTGAGTCGCGACCATTGCTTCCGTTTGAAACTTTCTAAAACTTGCTTAAAATCACCTGCCCGAACATGTATTCATGTCCATTGCACCAACTCTTGTTTGACATTCTGAAACCAATCACACTCACCAAACAAATGTATATTTGTTTCCATCACATGTGCATCACAGAGACAGCAATACACATTTTCGACTAGTATCTGCAACTTAAGCAGTCTCTCCCTAGTAAGCAGCCTTCCATGAATTGCTAACCACATTATGAATCTATGCCTTAGTTGTGCCATAACAGTCCATACAAGTTCAGTTATTCTCATCCTAGAGTGGCTCCCAGTTATATCCAAATAGTTCCTTGTAATCGAATACTCACCATTCACTGTAAGCACATATCTTCCTTGCACATACCATTCCTGCATTCTTTCTTTTAGGGAGTTGAGTTTCTTCCAATACCAACTACAATCCATCGGCGGTTTATGTTCCCAGAAATTAGTTTATGTCTTCATATAAATGCTATGTACCCATTTAACCCATAATGATTCCTTATTTACTTGCAATTGCCAGATTAGTTTGCCTACAGATGCAATGTTCCACTCCTTGCACCCCTTGGTATTTAAACCTCCCAATTTCTTAGGTTGGCAGATCTTTTCCCACGATAACAAAGCCACCTTGTCAACTGATCCTCCCCATAAGTATTCCCTACAGATCCTATCCACCTCCTTCAGTACACTTTGAGGTAGAATGAACACTGAACTCCAAAAACTCTGTATGGAAAATAATACTGCTTCTATCACCTGAAGTCTCCCAGCATAGGATAGTTGTCTGGAATAGGTGACTTTAACTCTGTGTGTAATTTTCTCCACTAGTTGATGACAATTCATTTTATTCCATTTCTTGGATGAGAGTGGCAGCCCCAAGTATTTAATAGGCAAAGCACCCAATACAAATCTCGTTCTTTGAAGTAGCTGCTCCTTAGTGTTATCATCTATTCCAGCCAAGAAGATGTTGGATTTATCCATATTTGCAATCAATCCAGTAGTGGCACTAAAATGATTTAGTATCTTCATGAGGCGATTTACTGAGCTCATATTACCTTTGCAGAAAAGCATCAGATCATCTGAAAAAATAATGTGTAAGTTTGGTCGGCTTGCACATAGGATGATATCCAAAGTCAGGTAATCTGCTTGCTATCTTCAATATCCTTGAGAGATATTCCATCACAAGAACAAACAGAAGAGGAGACATAGTATCTCCTTGTCGCAGACCTCTCATTCCTTCAAAAAAAACCATGGCTTTCTTCATTTATTTTAACAAAGAACTTTGTAGATGAAACACATGTCATGATTAAGTATCTGAACTTTCTTGGAAATCCAAATCCCTCCAAAGCTTCATTAAGAAACTCTCAATTAACCATGTCATATACCTTTCAAAGATCAATCTTCAGCAAGCACCTTGGTGAAGTTCTCCTATTGTAATGTCTTAATAAATCGTGACATATCAAGACATTGTGCATCATTGATCTGCCTTCAACAAAAATTGATTGATTCTCTGCTACCAAGTACTTAATTGCCTTCTTGAGTCTGATGCAGATCATTTAGAAATACACTTATAGATTACATTGCAACAAGAAATTGGTCGAAAGTGGCTTGCACATTCAGGAACCTCTATCTTGGGAATAAGGGCTATATTTGTACTATTAATCTGCTTCAACAGTTGGCCATTCTGATAAAATTTAAGTACTGCTTCTGTGAAATATGTTCCAATAATGTCCCATGCATCTCGAAAGAATCCACTACCATACCCATCAGGCCCGAAACTTTTATTCCTGTCAATATTAAATAAAGCCTTTTTCACATCCTTATCAGTATAAGGTTGCAACAACTCCATCTGTTGATCAATAGTAAGTATTGTTCCTTCCTGTAGTACTCTATTGTTTACTCGTGTTCTTGAATCATCTCTCTTCTCCAATAGATCTTCATAATACTCGACAAATATTCTAGCAATGTCGTTAGGCTTATTCTGCCATTCTTCCGCTCTATCCTTTAGCTGAGTAATGGAGTGCTTCAATTTCCTATGTTTGATCACAGAGTAAAAGTACTGTGTATTGTCATCACCCAACTTTATCCATACGGCTTTGCTTCTCTGTTGTAGATATATTTCTGCTAAGTATGAGGATTTTTTAAACCTATGATATATTTCGAGTTCATACTGTTGTAGAGCCCTGTTAGTAGGATCTCTCTGCAATTATTGTTGAGCCTCCTTCAGTATCTTCCTATCCTCATTAGCTTCATTTATAATATTGCTAAAGCAGTCCGAATTAAGCAGCTTGAGTTTCTTCTTTAAGGATTTCAATTTTTTCACTACTTTGAACATTTTACACCCTTTAAATGATGTATTCCTCTCCTCTCTTACTAGATCCACAAACTGAGGGTTGTGTGACCATGTGTTGCAGTATTGGAAGGATCTTTTCCTCCTAGGATTCTCTTCTGCTAGTGAGACTTTTATAGGGCAGTGGTCACTTATGCCTTCCGGCAAAAGAATGGCTCTACAGGTAGGCATATTGTCTAGCCACATATCATTTATAAAAATCCAATCTATTTTGGAGAAGATTCTCTTATCAACACCTTTATCATTCCAGGAATACCTATTGCCTAGCATAGGCAATTCAATCAAGCCAGCTTCAAACAAACAGTTATTGAAATCCACCACCTCAGTCCAGAAAATAGGACACCCTCCAATTATATCCTCATCATGGAGCACAACATTCTCCCAATATCATCCAAGGTTGCATACTTCTTCTACTCTGATTCATCGTACTGTCCCATAAACCTCTCTTTTCTTCTCTTGTGTTATGGGCATACATAAAAGAGACATTAAAAGTCAACTGGTGAGATATATAGAGAGCCTCACAAGTAGCTATTTAATCAGTCATAGCAATAAGTTTGATTTTGTACAAATCATCTCTCCATAGAACCACTATCCGTCCATTGTAATGACAGTCCAAATTTGAGATGAACTGCCATCCACCAAACAGCTTCCCCATTACTTGATCTATTTTATCCCTCTTTATTTTTGTTTCTAGTAGGCCAATTAGTCCTACTCTTTCTTCATTGCAAAGGAGTTTAATCTTCTTTTGCTTATTAGGGGCATTTAAGCCCATTACATTCCAACTAAGTAAGTTAACCATCCCCTAAATGGGGC